ACACTCCACATAGACTTTGAATATAAACCACACTCGCCTGCCTCTCAAAACGTGTTTGATGTGAATGCACCATTAGAATGTCCAGCTTCAATGTGATGACATCAGCAGTGATGACATCACTCTTTAATGTGTCAAATGAATCTCTCTCTTGAGTGTAGCACACAGACTGTTTTTTCAAACCTCTTCCTGTTTCAGACTTATAAGTTATAAGTTATGAATCTTCTACAGGAGCAGTGTGAAAACATAATCAGCCCAGTACAGGTTCACATTCTCAGGTTAGAAAGACTTATTTTTCAGTACTGGAATTACATTTATTAATTTAATCAAAGCATGTCATGAATATGTGTGCATGTACTCCATCTTAAGTCCAGAGCATACTAAATTTTTTGTTGCTTTTGCCACCACTAGATGATATGCATATGAGATATAACAAACAGCGCTATTCAGAGATGCAATGAGTTTATAGCAGTTGTTCCACCATGTTTGTAATTCTGACATTCTGCCATCACTGCAGTTCTAAAGAGCAGCTCAGAGGGAGACAAAATTCTATCCATTTTGAGTGTAACTGACACTGTTTTGGGTCAGTTAGTTTTTTGTTTTTGGCTTGTTTTTTGTTAATTTTTTGTTTTTTGTTAGTTACTCAAAATGCCAACAAAAGTAATAACTCCCCTCACGGGACCGAGATGCAGCTTTTGATATATATATTGTCAGGGACCACGCAGGGGTGCAGGCCACATTAATGGCACTAGGAAGTGGCAGTTATTTTGAGGTGAAGAACAATAGGTGCCTATATAGAACAATAGGTGCCTATATAGAACAATAGGTGCCTGTCATGCAATGCATGAAGGCAGTGACTGATTTGACTGATCTCCCTATGATTGCTATGGGGAGGCCCCAATTATAACATACGTCTGTGTCAGTTAAGTGCATCAAATCACAATATTTGATCAGACTCAGTCTGGTGGACTCCCTATCTTCCAATAAAACAAAGTTTAATGCATCTATAGGAGATGTGGCTTTATCAATACCTGTGGAATAAATGTCACTTGTCAAGGCAGCAGAGAACCTGCTCTGTGCAAACCTCTTGAAGTCAATAAAAAGCATGTAGAAGTCAGTAGCTTTGATCTGTTCTAGAAGTAAACCGACCGATTTACCAGCTCTCTGGTGTCAATAACATATGGCTGCAGCTGAAGTGCAATACTTTCATTTATGATATTGGCTCTTATAATTATCACGAAGGACAGAACTAACACTAAGCAATGAAAAACAGTCCGAACAGCAGTAAGAGTTAATGATTACAGTGCTGGAGGCAGCAGTAAGAGGGGCAGCTGATTGTGAAGTGGCTGGTGAATTGTCAGAGTGAAACCCACTCCACCTGAACACCTGAACACTGAACACCTGAACACTGAACACCTGAACCCTGAACACCTGAACCCTGAACACCTGAACACTGAACACCTGAACACTGAACACCTGAACACTGAACACCTGAACCCTGAACACCTGAACCCTGAACACTGAACATTGAACAATGAACACCTGAACACTGAACACAGAACACTGAACACTTGAACACTGAACACAGAACACCTGAACACAGAACATCTGAACACTGAACATCTGAACACTGAGCACCTGAACACCTGAACACTGAACACTAAACACCTGAACACTGAACACCTGAACATTGAACACCTGGACACTGAACACTTGTTCACATCTGAACACTGAACACTGAACACCTGAACACTGAACATCTGAACACTGAACACCTGAACACTGAACACAGAACACTGAACACTTGAACACTGAACACAGGACACCTGAACACTGAACATCTGAACATCTGAACACTGAACACTGAACACCTGAACACCTGAACACTGAACACTAAACACCTGAACACTGAACACCTGGACACTGAACACTTGTTCACATCTGAACACTGAACACATGAACACTGAACATCTGAACACTGAAGAACTGAACACTGAACACCTGAACACTGAACATCTGAACACTGAAGAACTGAACACTGAACACATGAACACTGAACATCTGAACACTGAAGAACTGAACACTGAACACCTGAACACTGAACATCTGAACACTGAAGAACTGAACACTGAACATGAACACTGAACATCTGAACACTGAAGAACTGAACACTGAACACCTGAACACTGAACATCTGAACACTGAAGAACTGAACACTGAACACCTGAACACTGAATACTGAAGAACTGAACACGGAACACCTAAACACTAAACACCTGAACACTAAACACATGAACATCTGAACACCTGAACACTAAACACCTGAACAATAAACACCTGAACACTGAACATCTGAACACTGAACACTAAACACCTGAACCCTGAACACCTGAACCCTGAACACTGAACATTGAACAATGAACACCTGAACACTGAACACTGAACACCTGAACACAGAACACCTGAACACTGAACATCTGAACACTGAACACCTGAACACTGAACACCTGAACACTGAACACTTGAACACTGAACACTTGAACACTGAACACCTGAACACTGAACACTGAACACCTGAACAATGAACACCTGAACACTGAACACCTGAATACTGAACAATGAACACCTGAACACTGAACACTGAACACCTGAACACCTGAACACTGAACACAGAACACCTGAACACTGAACATCTGAACACTGAACACCTGAACACTGAACACCTGAACACTGAACACTTGAACACTGAACACTTGAACACTGAACACCTGAACACTGAACACCTGAACACTGAACACAGAACACCTGAACACTGAACATCTGAACACTGAACACCTGAACACTGAACACCTGAACACTGAACACTTGAACACTGAACACTTGAACACTGAACACCTGAACACAGAACACCTGAACACTGAACATCTGAACACTGAACACCTGAACACTGAACACCTGAACACTGAACACTTGAACACTTGAACACTGAACACTGAACACCTGAACACTGAACACAGAACACCTGAACACTGAACATCTGAACACTGAACATCTGAACACTGAACACCTGAACACCTGAACACTGAACACTAAACACCTGAACACTGAACACCTGAACATTGAACACCTGGACACTGAACACTTGTTCACATCTGAACACTGAACACTGAACACCTGAACACTGAACACAGAACACCTGAACACTGAACACAGAACACTGAACACTTGAACACTGAACACAGAACACAGGACACCTGAACACTGAACATCTGAACACTGAACATCTGAACACTGAACACCTGAACACCTGAACACCTGAACACCTGAACACTGAACACTAAACACCTGAACACTGAACACCTGAACATTGAACACCTGGACACTGAACACTTGTTCACATCTGAACACTGAACACATGAACACTGAACATCTGAACACTGAAGAACTGAACACTGAAGAACTGAACACTGAACACCTGACCACTGAACATCTGAACACTTAAGAACTGAACACATGAACACTGAACATCTGAACACTGAAGAACAGAACACTGAACACCTGAACACTGAACATCTGAACACTGAAGAACTGAACACTGAACACATGAACACTGAACATCTGAACACTGAAGAACTGATCACTGAACACCTGAACACTGAACATCTGAACACTGAAGAACTGAACACTGAACACCTGAACACTGAACACCTGAACACTGAATACTGAAGAACTGAACACTGAACACCTGAACACTGAACACTGAACACCTGAACACGGAACACCTAAACACTAAACACCTGAACACTAAACACATGAACATCTGAACACCTGAACACTAAACACCTGAACACTAAACACCTGAACACTGAACATCTGAACACTGAACATCTGAACACCTGAACACTAAACACCTGAACACTAAACACCTGAACACCTGAACACTGAACAACTGAACACTGAACACCTGAACACTGAATACCTGAACACTGAACACCTGAACACTTGAACACTGAACACCTGAACACTTGAACACTGAACACCTGAACACCAGAACACTGAACACCTGAACACTGAACACCTGAACACTGAACACAGAACACCTGAACACTGAACATCTGAACACTGAACACCTGAACACTGAACACCTGAACACTGAACATGAACACTTGAACACTGAACACTTGAACACTGAACACCTGAACACAGAACACCTGAACACTGAACATCTGAACACTGAACACTTGAACACTTGAACACTGAACACTGAACACCTGAACACTGAACACAGAACACCTGAACACTGAACATCTGAACATCTGAACACTGAACACTGAACATCTGAACACTGAACATCTGAACACCTGAACACTGAACACCTGAACACTGAACACCTGAACACTGAACACCTGAACACTGAACACTTGAACACTTGAACACTGAACACTTGAACACTGAACACCTGAACACAGAACACCTGAACACTGAACACCTGAACACTGAACACCTGAACACTGAACACTTGAACACTTGAACACTGAACACTGAACACCTGAACACTGAACACAGAACACCTGAACACTGAACATCTGAACATCTGAACACTGAACACTGAACATCTGAACACTGAACATCTGAACACCTGAACACTGAACACCTGAACACTGAACACCTGAACACTGAACACAGAACACCTGAACACTGAACATCTGAACACCTGAACACCTGAACACTGAACATCTGAACACTGAACACAGAACACCTGAACACTGAACATCTGAACACCTGAACACTGAACATCTGAACACCTGAACACCTGAACACTGAACACCTGAACACTGAACATCTGAACACGGGGTTCCACACAGACAATGGAACTGATTTTACTACAGCAGCTCCTTGTGTCCAGGCAGGAAAACAGAGGAAATGGCTGTGAGGCCGTGAAGAATGTGAACAGCACGCAATGAAATCACCTCTCCATTCTATGAAGCGCTTCGTATGTTTACCTTGATGCCTTCTTGACAAAGTATGAGTGGGTGAACTCCAAGTGGTCGTCCAGCCACGCTTCCATCCTGTCGTTTCCGGGGCAGCAGTGGTCCTCCATGGAGCTGAAACAACTAGAGCAAGTCTTTTCCCGCTGAAAAGCTCCAATGTCTTCCATCTGCGCGCGGAGCGGCGGCTTGAAAGCGCGCAGGAGATAAAGTACTGGAGGCGCGAGCGCTAAAGGAACAGTCTGCCGGCAGCGGAGGCTGCGCGCGGCGCTTCCGAGCTGCTGAATGGAGTCTGGGAGGGCAGAGTGGGGCAGAGTGGGGCAGCAAGCAGCCCTCTGACGGAGAGCCTGGACAAACAGCCGCGAAGCAGCAGACACTAGAAATCAGCTATACTTTCAAGCGCATGCAAGTTGTGAGGGCTGAAAATACATTCCGGTTATTATACCGAATTTAACTGCGACAAAAATCTTTTTCTATTTAGGAATAGACAATTCTAACAAAATGACATGATTTTCAAGTTGTGAGGCTTTCAAAAAAAGTGTCTTTAATATCGAGAGGTATGTCACCAGACTGCTCCCCAGTGGCGGACAAGATGAGCCACCACCCATCCCCTCATCCGTCCCCCCCCCATCCCATCATCCATCCCCTCATCCGTCCCCTCCCCCATCCCATCATCCATCCCCTCATCCGTCCCCCCACCCATCCCCTCATCCGTCCCCCCATCCATCCCCTCATCCGTCCCCCCACCCGTCCCCCCACCCATCCCATCATCCGTCCCCCCATCCATCCCCTCATCCGTCCCCTCATCCGTCCCCCCACCCGTCCCCCCACCCATCCCCTCATCCCCCCACCCATCCCATCATCCATCCCTCATCCGTCCCCCACCCATCCCATCATCCATCCCCTCATCCGTCCCCCCACCCGTCCCCCACCCATCCCCTCATCCGTCCCCCCACCCATCCCATCATCCATCCCCTCATCCGTCCCCCCACCCATCCCATCATCCATCCCCTCATCCGTCCCCCCACCCGTCCCCCCACCCATCCCCTCATCCGTCCCCCCATCCATCCCCTCATCCGTCCCCCCACCCGTCCCCGCACTCGTCCCCGCACCCATCCCATCATCCGTCCCCCCACCCATCCCATCATCCGTCCCCCCACCCATCCCCTCATCCGTCCCCCATCCATCCCCTCATCTGTCCCCCCACCCGTCCCCGCACCCATCCCATCATCCGTCCCCCCACCCATCCCATCATCCGTCCCCCCACCCGTCCCCGCACCCATCCCATCATCCGTCCCCCCACCCATCACCTCATCCGTCCCCCACCCATCCCATCATCATTCCCCCCACCCATCCCATCATCCGTCCCCCCATCCATCCCCTCATTCGTCCCCCCACCCGTCCCCGCACCCATCCCATCATCCGTCCCCCCACCCGTCCCCGCACCCATCCCATCATCCGTCCCCCCACCCATCACCTCATCCGTCCCCCCACCCATCCCATCATCATTCCCCCACCCATCCCATCATCCGTCCCCCCATCCATCCCCTCATCCGTCCCCCACCCGTCCCCGCACCCATCCCATCATCCGTCCCCCCACCCGTCCCGCGCCCATCCCCGCACCCATCCCATCATCCGTCCCCCCACCCATCCCATCATCCGTCCCCCACCCATCCCATCATCCGTCTCCCCAGTCATCCCCCCGAAAAAAGCTGGATATGCCACTGATATCAGATAATCATGTTGCGTTCAACATCTTCTGCAAGTCATAAATTTCATAAGGTGGGGGTTTGAGTGGCGAGGATTGACGGCTGAAGAACCAGGTTCATGAAATTAAAACGATTGTTTTAATGAGGAATGTACCGGATGAGCAGCCAGGTCAGCAGAGGTCAGGGACTTTTGCTCCTAAAAGTTAGGAGCAAAAAGAAAATAATTAGGCCACATGACAGGAGAGACTAGGATCCGACAAGGAGCAGGGAACACAGGTGAGACTAAATACACACATAGTAATCAGGGACCATGAGACACAGCTGGGAGTAATCAAGGGCAGACCAGAAACACAGGAACTAAACTGACACAGAAAACCAAATCCAGAAAAAATTTAATCCTCAAAAATAATAAGTTACTATATATAGGATCTTATATATATATATAGTATCTTATGTATGTGTGTGTGTGTGTGTTTGCATGTGTGACAGCTTCCCCATTGCCCGTCCCATCATGCACACTGAGGAGGCCAGTTGGTTGAATTTTCTGGAATGAGTGGTTAATATAAATCAGAACAGTGAGCTTCCCTCTGCTCCACTAGTTCTCTGCATACTGTAATAAAACTCCACGTCAGTTTTTGAGCACACCCACTATGACCGTTCAGAAAAGAACTGGATTTGGTGACTTACCGCAGTAGAGCGCTGAACAGACTGTGTGGAATTTACAGTTTCTCCTCCTATTTATAGGCAACCAGTAGGGGGCGCCAAAAAGCACTCATCACATGGCAATTACAAAACATATTTTAGTGAGAATTTCACTTGTATCCATTATGAGTAGTGGATACCCGTTACACATGTATGTGCGGAGGTGTGTATGTATGTCCCCATATCCACACTCCTAAACCTTGAGGACAGCCTTCCCAGAAGCGCTGGAGCTGTTCTAGCTACAACGTCACATGGAACTCTATGGATTAGGAAAGTGATATTACTCATAAAACTCTTCTATTTGACATGGAGCATTTATATTTTTCTTCAGTGTGTATGTATATACTGAATGTGTGTGAATATGTGTGTGCAAAGTTGTTTGAAAGAAAGGCAATAAGAGATTGGATGTCAGTTTGTTCTTCTTTTTCCTTTGAAAAGATCTCACCAGTATGTTTCTTCATCATGACAAATCTGAGGCCTCAGTCCTCGACACAGACGTTGCGGGTTCGACTCCCGGTCCCCGCGACCTTTGTCGCATGTCTTCCCCACTTTTCCTCGTCCTCCTTCCTGTCTGCCTACTGTTGAGAATACAAGCACTGCAAAAACTCTTCGGAGAAAAAAAATGATCGAAAAAAAATTTAAAATTTCTGAAACATTTTAAATATCTTTCCATAGAGTTAAAGTTCCCACAAGTTCCCCACTGGACATATTTATGAAGCCCATATATAAACTACAGATTTTGAAAAATTCCTGTCGTCTTATTAGGCTGATGTTGTACAGAAATAAATTCTCTGTTATGGTACATCAATAAAGCATAATTGTTTCTTGTTTTTTTTTTTTTTTGCTATGTTGGACAATAACATACAGAACATCTGTAAATTTTCCAGGAATTATTGAATGCAGTTTAAGATTCCTGGAATTGCTCCTAAAAGTTAGGAGCAAAGTTTCTGATATTTATATAAGAAAGTTACAGTAAAGTTCTTTGGAGCCCTAAACACTCAATGTATGAAATGAACATAATTTTGATACATTGTATTTCAAAAGACATGAGAACAGTGGTGTTATCATGACATATGAGGGGTTAAATAATTCTAAAGATGAGTCTGAATTAATGCCCTGTGACAGCCTGGCGACCTGTCCAGAGTGACCCCAGTGTGACCCCAGAGTGACCCCACAGTGACCCCAGCATGACCCCCGGGTGACCCCACCTCTCGCCCGGAACGTAGCTGGAGATGGACACCGGCAACTCCTGACCCCACGAGGGACAAGGGTGAACAGAAAATGGATGGATGGAATAACAAAAATAAGTCCATCACAATTTTGTCATTGTGATGGACCCAAAAGTTTTGTTAAACCAAATAAGGTGAAGTGCATTTGAGACACATGAATTAACATGTCCAGGATTCATGTCCAGCTAAAGAACGAGTTTATCTCTGTAATCATCAGAGCATGAACATTGATCATTAAGCTAAAGATAATCAGTAATAATGGTGCTTGGAGGTTTTTGCCATGCTAACTAATTCCTATTTCACAAAAGTGCAGACTTTTGTTTTCATTTCCCCCTTTCAACAAGCTGAAAGATGTCCTGATTATCTGGATGGTTCTTAAGAATCTTAAGAACTATTCCTGCTATGTGTGCTATGTTAAGAGTGATGTGGTCCACTCGGAAGGACAGTGGGACGGACCGCTGCCATCTAGAATCAAGGTATCAGTTGAATTATCTTGGCCTGATATGAAAGCATGTGTGGTGTTCCCTGAGGACAAAGGCAGCCTGTTAAAGGTGACACAAACTGAAGGGGAATCCAAAATAAACACAAGTTAAAACAACTGCCATGACACCAGAAACTCTGGTGGATGTAGCAGTCCTTTGTAAAGTTTTTATTCTTCTTCTTCTTATTATTATTAAATATAGTCCACAAACTGTGGCCATTACTTCTTACTAATCAGTTAAGTTTGGTCTTGAGCAGGGCTGCTGCTGTGGAGTTGGTTGTCCACTTTTGGAAGTGTTTTGAATGACATTTTACTGTAAAAATTAAGGGAGTTTTTAAGCTTTTGCTCTGCACAAATCAGTGCACAGCAAAACTGATTTGAAATCACCATATCTATGGAACCATTTCCTGAAGAAAACAGTCTGAGTCCTAATGAACAAGTAAAAAAGATATATACTTAAAGTGTGGATGGCTTTGTAGGAGGTTCCTGTCCAGAGGAAAGGGATGATATGATATATTTCTTACATTTTTTTTTAGATCTGATTGTAGCAAATGTTTTTCTTTGATAGGCATTAGTGGTAGTTTGGATGTATTAGACATGTCTTCATTGCATTGCATTTTTAACTAAATGAAAACACTCGGCTGCCTTAATAAATACCGATAAAATGTTTTATGAGAATATATTTTTTCTCAAGAAATAGGATATTTTAGTGATAAGGTCTGAATCTGGATTTGCTGCACAGGGTTCCAGTTTCGTCCCACCGGACACTTGAGTCCCCTTGGTGGTGTCACTTTACCGACAGATGGCGGCTGGTGTTTCCAGGGGGGAATCCCCCCCTATTCGACCTGCTGGCAGAAACAGCCAAACAAAGGCAACAGGATTCTTATCAAAGATAAAGAGAGAGGAGAGAGAAAGATGCTGCTTCATCTAATGCCGTCATCATAGTCTTCTTCTTTTATGTACAAAACACAAGTCCTGATGGAGGTTAGGCTGACAGACAGTGTTCCCCAGATGTTGAGAGACTAACAGTTATGATCATAATAGCTGTGTACATTTCACCTGTTGCCAATGGAAACACGACTCTCTCTCTCTCTCTCTCTCTCTCTCTCCCTCTCTCTCTCTCTCTCTCTGTCCTTCTAAAAACCATTAAAGAATAGCAGCAGGGGGCCTGAGTGCATCACTGGCAGAGTCCCACTTTGAAACCCATCAGTAGCACTCTTCTGCTCTTGCAGGCCTGCACCTG